AGGGGCCGGGAGCGGCTCCCGGGAGCGGGAATGTGCCAGGCCTCCTTCCCGGGCGCTTCCTGGAACAGCTCCAGCCGCGCAGGGGCAGGGGAGGCGCTGGCTGGGCACAGGGATGGCACCGGGAAGGACGGAGGGTGATCGGGGAGCTGGGGCAGGCAGGTGAGGGATCCCTCGGAAAGGCTAATCCTGCTGTGGGGAGACCCTCTCCCACCGCCTCCGCTACTGCCGCCTCGTAGATCAGCTACAGCAACCCCAAAACGCACGGCCCGGACCGAGAGGGAGACGTCAAGTCTCCCTCCAGCCACGCTTCCAAACAGCCATTTCAGAGAGTTGTTCCCAGGCTCAGGAACATTTTACTCCAAGGCCAGACAGCTGTTTTGTACTTTTCTTAAGGCAATATGTAACTTGTCCTGAGGGTCGTCTGATGACAGAATGTTTGGCCTTATCATTCTTATGTGTAAGAAGCGCTAGAATTATAGCTGTTTTTCAAGTCAATAATGAGGCTAGAGATAATAATTTAAAGCCAGAAGGCCAGCTTGGATTTCGTCTATGCACTCAAAGTTTCCAGAGGCATTTCTGCAGCTTGTGAAAAATCCAAGTTTCTTGATGTTCTAGCAACAAACCTGACAGAAATGCCAGACTCTGAATCATCAAAGGGCTGCACAGTCATCACGAGGTCTTCATTTATTTAAGCTGAATTGACCAACAAGCAGATATTTTAGGCTTAAATTTCAATCATCTCGAGCATTGAAAGAGCGTATCTTCAGAAAGATCAAATAAATCATCAAAGAAACATCATTTCCAATATGCTTTAGCCTCTTATTTTCAGCCAAGCAGTCATTCAAGGGACATGCAGAGTGACCTGACGAGGCCTGTCCCTAAATAACCCCCCATGGGGCGCAGCACGACGCGGCGCAGCGACGTCTCCATCTCACCATCCTGTGCGAGATCAAGAGTGCTGGGAAAGGAAAAAAATGAAGCCCGGAAATGGTCTAGAATTAGAAAGAATTTGAATTGGAATTCACAGGTGCTGACCCAGATCTATGGTGCTTGGGTAAAGCCAGTTGCTCTGCAATGACATAAATCATCCTGTGGTGCTCTCCTCTCCACCCGCCCACTGCATTCCTGAAATAAATCCCACACCATCCCGCTGAAGTAGAAATTATTAACAAAAAAAATGAGGAAAAAAAAAAAATCTAACAGAATGAAGATGGATACTTTGTGCAAATTCTCTGAGTCAACAGCAGATAGACAACTAGGAGCCGTGTTTCCTCTGCTTTTTATTTAGCTATAGTCCATCTGCTGGAACTTTCCACGCCATTCCTTTCCCTCCCAAGCAACATCAGCTTTGCAGGCACTCATTTGCTTGCCACAAAGTGCACTTTAACTACAAAAATGCAAGTAAATCTGTTTTAAGAGTCTGCTCCCTACAAAGACAAAGCTAAGTTAAAATTACAAAAGCTGCCATTAAAAATATTTGGGATGTTTCATAGCACTGCTCAAATTTACGGGCTACTGCTTGAACGTAATCAATTTTTATTAAAGTAGAATTATCAATATTGCATTTAAGGGAAGTGGTTACCCTAAAAGGCAGTTAGAATTGCTGGAAAAAAAATCAATTGAATGAAAGGAGTAAATTACAAGAAGATGCACTAAAGCCAAGGAACTGGTGGCCTTGAATCCCCTAAGATGGCGTGTACTTAGTGTGCCTATTTTAAGGATCGCTTGGAAATAATTTTGAAGCCATAGCTTTCATGTGTGGATCACGGCATTTTTTTGTAGCATTATCAGATACAGAAACAACAACACTGCTTATCCTTTGGGAAGCACCAAAGCGCTGCTTCTCTTCTCTTTGAACATAACATACTTGAGCCTTGATTTTCATTCTGCGGCGCTGCGCCACCAACTTCACAAATACCGTGAGTATTAAAAGCAGATGTTTGCGAGAGGCAAAAACCTCAAAAAAACGACGTCAGCAAACCCAAACCAGCCCCCATCTGCTTCATCTTGTGCTTTTTCCTATTAGCAGGACTTCAATGTTTCACCAGCCACGCAGAGCCCTTCAGCCTCCCGAGGGCCTGCGGGTCCCCAGGGAGAAGGAGCCGCTTTTCAGCGGTGACCGAGGGGAGCCCTGGGGGGCAGCGAGCGCGGGCCATGGGGCACCTTCCTCGGGGGCGCCCGGCGCCCCGGCCCTCCTCTCACTGCGCCCAGGCGCCGCCTCCCCTGGAAGGCAACTCGGGGCAGGAAGGCGGCTCCTCCGTTCCCGCTGTCTTCTGCGCTTTCTGGGCACAAAAGTCTCCTGTTACCCCTTCTGTTTTTCTCCAGGCAGTGGGTATCAAATTATGAGTTTTTTGCTTGCCTGGGAGCGGGGGGCACCCACAGAGCGCACGAGCACCAGGGTGCCCCAGGGCCCCAGCCCCACGGCAGGAGGCTCTCGCGCAGGCCCGCGCTCCCGCAGCTCCCAACTTCTGCAACAGGATCCTCTTCCGCTTTGCCTCAGATCCAGGGAAAATGCACTGAAAATTGTTTCAAGACCGATTCACACAGCACATTCCCATGTGCCCTGGGAAGAGACCTGTTCTGAGGATCTTATTAACGGAAAGGAAATGACACAGCGAGGGAATTTATCACCAGTTCAGTTTTTTTCCTCCTTTACTTTCCGCTAAAGCAAAGACTCCAGAAACACATGGAAAGGAGGCAACAGCTATTCTACTGGAAGAGCCGGGCGCACAAGGAGTGACGCGGTGAGCAGACAGGGCAGCTTTCGGCACCCGCTCCTGTGGAGCCCCTCACGAAGGGCTAGAGAGGGTGTTGGGGGCCTGTCAGTTCCCTCGGTCCTCTCCTCCCTGCTTCAGAGCAGTCACTTCCCCAGGGGCTCCCCTTAGTCAAATGGCATAAAAACGTAGCCATGTGCCCTGCCATGCTGGAGGGAGCAGAGAAAAGCAGGCACACAGTGAGTAAAGAAGAACAGGGGAGGAAAAAACACTCAGCATTACAGTGCTTAACGTTAAAGTACCCACTTCCCAGGACAACCGTGTGTCCCGTCTCTCCTCCTTCGTGTCCTCCTCGCTGGGGGACGTGCAGGTTTGCCCGCGGGCGCTTTGACAAAGCAGACACACAGCAGGGTGCTCACAACGCACCTGACAGGACAGCCACTTTATTACAAAGAACAAACAACGCTCCCAAATAAGACTGTTTTTGTACAAAGTGTCAGTTGCCTGGTAGAGGCTATTAAAGAAACAGGTCCTAAGACTAGTAAGTTCACATCAAATTCGCTATCCTGGAAAGATCAGATAACAACAGTAATACCTATGATATTTTCAGAGGTTATGGCATGATCATCATGTGCTATATTCCAAACTACATTCAAAAGATATTGCTCTAAGTACTTTGAAAACACCAAGTGTAGGTTATTGTCCGCTTTATTTCCACTTTCACGAGAACATCCGTAAGATGAAGCAGTACCGACGCGTGCCGTCACTAGCAGGACTGCTCTATGCTCACAACTTCTGTAACAGCTGCAGTAAACCTAGACACTTCCACAATATGGATAGGGCAAGCTGAGATGTCAGTTTATGTCCTTTAATGACACAGGAAATAAATGGAGAAGAGAGATTCTCAGAGAGCTGATGTCAACAGCCTTCCAAACAAATTTGAAAACAACCCTCAACTCTCCGTGTTTGTCTGAGACCGAGCTGATAGGCGGAGTGAGGTGGGACTGAGACATGGTATCAATACAGTTCTACAAACAGAGCACAATGTGTATTTTACAGCGCGCACCACCATCTCGTTGCAAAGTAAACCTGTGAGAACTGAAGCTCTGCAGCTGTTCGCTGTCCAGCATCACCCACCTTGGGCAGGGGGAAGAGAAAGTGACACCACGGGTAAGGTCGGCCGGAGAACGCAGGCTTACGAGGAAACTAGACTTGCATTAAAACGCCCGTTTTACCCTTTGGTACTTGTGACACCCCCTTTGCAAAAGGAGCTGTACAAAGCATGTGAACCCAAGTGCAAAAAAACTCCGCCCAGACATACCCAACAGGTTTTATTCTTAAATAACAGCTCTACAGTCACAGCTATCAACCAACAAAATCAAAGCCGCAAGTGTTTTCCTTAAAAGGCTTCTTTCACAGTACTAATAATAACAATAATAATAAAAAAAAGTTATATTTTTCTACTTACAGCTCATGTGCATGGCATTTTAGTTATCAGACACTATTGGTGGCAAGATCATACCTGATGAAATGGACCATTCAAAACACAAATATATTAAAGCCAGTTTAACTTCAGGAAAAGTTCTATACATTCATACTACAAACACTGTTCCGAGTGAATCCGTGATATCTGTCCTTGTCATAAACATCAGATTTTCCTCAGGAGCCAAACGCTGCGTGCGACTCCTGTACGAGTGACGGTGAGTTACGGTCCCGGCCCATTCCAAGGGCTACTGCAGCGCACGAGGCGCTGCGCTAATTAAGGCTGTATCAGCAACTCCGTTACCCCCGTGGCTTCCAGGGCAACCACGACTTTGCTATAAATCTGCTCTGGGACACTCGAGCTGTCAAATCTCCTCTAATATCCGAGTGATACTTCTCCCACCAAAACAGGCACGTCGATTCTTTCCGTTTATTTACAAGTATTCTTAAGACAAATTTAACTGGCAGAGGCAAGTAATTCTACTTTGATTTATAGTCTTTTGGCATTCAGGGCAAAATTAAAGTGCAAAGTATAAACTTCATTGCACGTTATAGTAATTTAGATTTTATGTTAAAATAAATCCTATTTAGGTGCCTCTATCTATTCACCTTGTCCAACTCAGCCATTTCCCTCTACACTTTGGTAAACATGTGGTTATATATAGATAGATAAATAGAATTTAAAATGTTTACCTTTATTTCACTACTGTGAACAATTCTTTCCTTCAGCACAGGAATGGATCCACCTATTCCTAGCAGTAATGCTTTTTGAATTTATCAGCTAGCTAAGTTAATGTAAAATGATGCATAGTAAAAGGGAGATACTGAACTTGACTGGTAGAATACACGGGTAAAGCAAACAAGCACTTAAGAAGATTAACTGGAATAAATATGTCAAAAGTTGCCATATAATATGTGCAAAAATTGCTTACCAAGTATTTTAAACTTTGGTTAAAACTTTCAGATTGAAGTTTTACAGAAACATTATGGAAGCAACACAAGTGATTACAAACACAGGAATGAGGTAAGTTATTATTAGTGCAAAAAGCGAGCATATGCTAAAAGCAAAGCATATGGAATTAAAAAAAAAGAAAAAAAAAGAATGAATCCAATGGAAGTTTTAATACAAGACCCAAAAGGTCTCTTGTAAACATTGGTATTTACAAGTTTTAGATTTGTACAACTACAAAAGGATAATCCTAAATATTAGTAGTGCATTTACAATGTCCTTTTTTTTTTTTTTAATAAGAGAAATGACTAAGTTTCTTTTTCCTTTTAAATCGTCAGGGAATATCTTTCAAGATTAAGATATTTGTTACAAATAGTAGAAAAATCACTTCTTTACAAAAAGTATATATTAAAATATTTATACATTTTAAGTTACTATATAATAACTGGAAATTTTTGCCTTATACTCAGACACCACAGTGCAGCACGTGGTGTAAAACATGGAAACCAGTCAGAACTTGCTCATACACCAAATCTTTATGGATTATCCGTGCAAGATCTGCAACAATCATTGGAACTCTACACAAATACTGCTGTATATGCCTTTTTTTCCTTCCTTTTTTCCCCTCTAAATTTGAGGGCATGAAAATTTTAACTAAAACTATCAGAAAGGGCTACTGGATAGAGTATGGGCCTCCACTCCATCCACTTTAATATAATTAATTCTCTATTATATGGTAGTTATACCTGAGCAAGGCCATATAACGTTGATGTTTCAAAAGTAAAAAAAGGTTATATAATTTTAAAGATAAAAAAACAATGCAAAAATAAAATATTTGTAGCATTTACAAATAGTACAAGAGTTACATTAAACACTACATTCAAAACTCGAAACTTATGCTGCTGTTTCTACTTGGAGCTTGATGTTTTCATATCTGCAAAGAGAAGGAAACATCGGTAAACTTCTCATATTTCATCTCACCTACACCGACAAACAGCTTATAGCGGCAAATACTATTTTGGAGTTCCAGGATACGGATCATTGTTGAAACCCTTGCCACCTAAATGGCCTAAAGAGAGTGTTATAGGGAACATGATGAGAGAGACAACTTGCACAAGCCCCGCGCAAGGCAGAGCTGCTGTGTGGCACAGGGATAGGAAGGAGTGGGAAGGTCTCTCCTGGCTGGGAGCTGGATTTCGCCAGCTGCTCAGACCACATCCTTAAGCAGATCACTGCATCACCAAGCCAAGAAAATGCCAGTTGCAGCATCCTAGGGGGAAAATAATCCCTCTCCTTCCCTGGCCTCTGGCATTTATACAGCTGCACTGCAGGCCCCAGCAAAGAGCTGATCAGGCTGCACTTTATTTTCATCTTTATTTGCATCTTTATTTTCAGCCCACCCACAGCCAATTCATTATGAAGCTCTCCTGGCTGTAACACAGACTTCAAAAGAGCTTATGTTGGGCACAAAAAAGCCTTTACCTTGAAGCCATCGGACTTGTGTGGCCGGTCCGTATCCTCTCTCGTTCTTGGCAGAAATCCTGAACACTATAGCAGGCCGGGACGTATAATCAACGTGAGCATTGGAGAGCTGGGTAGCAGTCACTGTGCAAGAGGTTTTAAGACCGCAGTATATTCTCATAAACACAAGCTGATTTGGATTTTCCTGTAACTGTGTGGAACGGATTGCTAAATAAGCAGAATATTCTAAAATATTTCCAGAAGGTGAAGCAGGAGGCTCCCAAGAAAGATGAATACAGTCTACGCTCTGGGAAAAGAAAAAGAAAGCAAGAAAACACATGATCCTGTTCAGGTAATGAAGTATACATGCACCCCAAACCAACCAACCACACACTTGTACTCCAAAGAACATGTGAAAATTCCAACCTATTCGAAATTACAACTTATTCTTCATTTCTTTACGCCAGAAGCAAGTGAGCATTTAGGCTTCCAGCACAAAGGCAGAGCTAAAACTGCCAAAGGGCATTTGGAAAAATTAGTACACCCCTTTTCTGGGCCATTCAAGATGAAAAATAAAATAATATATATATTTTTTACTTCCACAAATACAGCACAGCTTGAAGGTAGCAAGTTTCACTAGTGTAAAATACAGTATGTCATGAAAGTGAAACCCCAAACAAGAAAATTCACCTATCAATAAAACATGTAACAAGTTACAAAAGCCACAAAACAGAAACAATCAAGCCCCCCAATAAAAGCCTCTTGATTTTAAAGCTCTCAGATGGAACTTGGTGGGGTAACAGTTTAAAAGAGACATCCATTTAACAATCAGCAATTTAAGGATAAAAATGCATCCTAACACGCCAATTCAATTGTTCTTCCAACAGCCATACAATTTTACCACTTCTTTTATGTGAAAAGAAAATTAGAGGTCAAAACATTATGATTCTTTGGAGGTGATGATACGTCTTTTGGACTTTTTTTTTAAAAACAATGTAAAGATCTATAAAGTTAAGGGTACAGTAAGAAAAAAATCACAGGATGATTGATAAAGATGTGTTTCTGGCAATAAAGTCATTAGGACCTAAAATAATTCTTTATACTAAAATTTTTAAAGAATACTTCATTGAACAGAAACCACCAGTGACACTAATTAATATAACTTTCACTTAAAAACAACAAACAACAAGAACAGAAAATACAAAGCAAGCTCAACACCAATAGAAAATACAAGTTCCTAGATTAAGTTTGTAAGCAGAATATTATTCAGCAGAACTAGTATTACCTCTATTTCTCACCTTGCTGATTTTGACAGTTGAAGGAGCTCCAGGAAAACCAGGAATGCAAGTCTTGAATTCACTGACTTTACTGAAGGGGCCAACACCACAACCATTAATTGCAGCAACTCTGAACCTGTACACTGTGCCTGGGAAGAGATCCTGTTTCTTAAGTAATCTATAGTCTGGAACATCTGCCTTTTCCTTCTGAAAATAAAAGCAAAATTTGTATTAAGTCTTAAAGTATTCCAAACACTTCATCTAAAAAGCATACGCAAGTTGAGAACTGATTTATCTCACTCTATTCAAGTTCATTAAAACACTTCTGTACTTAATTCAGAATTCACAGAAAGGTTATGACTGAAGGCTGACCTACTTAAAAATAACTTACCTAGGTAATATTATGAGACTAAGTCTCTAATAAAAAAACCCAAACAAACAAACAAAAAAAATCAAAAACCATAATATACTAAGCTCATTAAGATGTGGAATATTTATAGTAAAGTGTTTTCTGGGAAAAAAAAAGAAGTGTTCTATTCTTTTGCTACTGTCCCAAAAAAAAAAAAAAAAAAAAAAAGAACTCTTGGTTTGATGTTTGATCTATTCTACAAATACATTCTAGAAAGTCTACAAGTTTAGGATGCAACAGGCCAGTGTAATTGGTATTTACAGAAGTATACAGAGAATGTCAAGAGATTTTGGGGGTGCTCAAGTTGCCTGTTATTATGTACCTATGGACCAAAAACAGTTAAAATCCACCCACAAGTTTCATCTTCTCTAATGTGCCATATGGGCAAGCGCTAGCTCTAAGCATAGGACACAAAAGCTGTTCCTAAAGAGCACAGCTCTGGAAGGCAGCAGAGACCACTTCAGTGAAATGAAAGCACACTGAACCATTTGCTGCTGGGTGGGTTACATACAACTGTCTGTGGTCACTTACACATATTTAGCATGAGGGATTTTGGTTCTGAAATCAACTCGAGCATCTCTAACCAAAGCAGCCTCCTGGCTTGTAGGTGCTTCTGCCCATTTAAGTGAATATACTCAGCAGCTTTGCTTCTTTGGGAGGGCATAGAGAGGATGGGGCCAAACTCTTCTCAGCAACAGGACAAGAGGCAACAGGCAAAAACAGAAATGCAGGAAGTTCTGCCTAAACTTGAGGGAAAACACCTTTACTGTGAGGGTCACTAAGCACAGGAACAGGCTGCCTGTCTCCATCCCTGGAGATATTCAAAGTTGTCTGGACACAATCCTGGACCACGTGCTCTAGCTGACCCTGCCTGAGCAAGGGGGTTAGACTAGATGATGCCCAGAGGTCCCTTCCAGCCTCAAACATTCTGTGATTCTAGTTCACTAAAAAAATCATTAATACATGTTTTAGCTATCAAAACTGAAGATACTTTTCAAGTTGTATGTGCATAACATTTTCATAGCTAAGCTTATATGTGCAACAACCTAAGTCAGAAAAATCTAATCAAAAAGACACTACAGCTCTACAATTCTATGTTTAGACTTTTTAAACATTCAAACTTATGTCTTATTCATTGTGTCTTAATCATTTGTAAGTGAAGAAAAAAATAAAATACCATACACTGAAAGAAGCATTATATTTTTGAAGAATTTTTACTAGTTTGAGAGTTTAAAATCATTTTCTAATGTTACAGATAACACCATGGAAAGAATTTCCATAGCACTGGAATAACACTAAGAGCCTCCATATAATCACAGAAAAATGACAAAAGAAAATGCATTTAGAAAACAATAGAAAAGGTGAGCAAAAGTTTCCTATCTTATGACCATGTAGTTTCTGATACAAGCACCGTTTTCTGCTACGGCATCAGAAAATCCCACATTTTGCTGTTGGGCATATGGGCAACAGATTAGAAAATATGTGTGTGTGAGTGTGTTAGAGAAAAACCACCACCTGCCTTGTTAGAGATGCTCAGGGTTTCCTCTGGCAGCAGGTAGAACTGGCTCACCACTGCAGTGTTGTTTTTAAAAATTCCAACATCATACCACTGTCGATCCCTTGTTTTCACCGTTGACATCTGCCTTAGCGGAGTTTTCTAGTAATTGAGGAACATGTTAGGTATAGCACCCATACTTCAATGTCATATAAAAGAATCACATTTCAAGACTCAAGCATATGTAGGAGAGAACCCCTATCACATCAATAAGTTACTTTCTCATACATCAAAAGAATATACACTTTTTGGCAAAATTCTGTCCAAAATCAGTTGGTTCTTAAACACCCATTTAGACACAGTCCACCATTTACAAAAAAACAGAATAGCTGTAATTGGCATGACATCTCTGACAGCCTGGTTTAAAGGGTGAAGGGAAGAAATTAGAAGGTCTAGAACAAGGTGTCTATAGCAGCACATAGTTGTGAGTTAATCCATCTCAGAGGTCCAAAGGATTTTGCAGTGGGGTCCAGCCTCAGGAGCTCTACCTGGGATTTGGGGCAATCCCTCTGCCCCAAACATTCTCTCAAAGAAGTAACTGCTGAATTTTCTCACAGCTGAGCAAGGGCCTCTGCTGCAGTGGGGGGCTCCTGGGAACTGCTCCTGACTTCCTTGCCCGTCTCCAAGCACCAAGGAGGGTCCTTGGGTGCTCAGTGCTGCCCAGCACAGGCAGACACTGTCCCTGCTCGCATGGAAGATGGGGCGGGAGAAGCAGCTGCTATTACCAAAACACCCCAACCCTTTAGCAGCAGCTGCTGCTTCCCATCCTTAGCTCCTCTCTTTGAGGCAACAGTGGCACCGTGGTTTTGTGTATTAAGGTGTAAGCAGGTGAAATAGTAGGCATTTACTTTTTCAGGCAGTATTTACAGCTTGCATAGCCAGTCCCCATCTCCTCTAGGGAAAAACATCAAGATGTCAGTTCAGTTACGTTTCAAAGCTACAGATCAGCAGCTAACACTACATCTGATCTAATACATACTTCATATTAAATTCAATTATGCAGACAGAAAAACATCTTTACATTTGCAAGTCATGCAGCAGAGACCATTCTACCATGCCAATCCATAAAAATGATTTAACGTGTGAAACACAAACTGTATCTCCTCCCAACTACACAACTGCTAGTGAGGCTCAAATCAAACCCGCACAAAGCAATGAGTTCTACAACAGGAAACATTCACCCCTGTATAATTCATTCCAAGCCCTAAACGTACATTTTGTTTCAAAGAGATATAAACAAAGCAAAATAAAAGAACCTTTAGGACTAATCAACTGTAGAACAATAAAGATATCAATTTTATTAGAATTCTTCAGACTTACAGAAGAGTGAGTATCATTTGTCTGTCCAGTATTAACTCTTGTTGAAGGGGTGACAAAAGCAGCTCCAGCAGCTGGAAACAAAAAGTTATATTAATTTAAAGATTAGTTTATGTGAAAAATTGCACACAAAGTCCACATAAAACGAAAGTTGCCACAGACAACCATTTACAGTTGCCTGATGAAAGAGTATGCTTAAGATTTCTTTTGCATGCAGTTTTATTTATAATATGAGCAACTATTTAGAGCTTGTTTCATATTCACAGAACAATTTCAAGAGCACAGTTATTACCAGCAACCATAGTTAAAAAGCAGACAGAAGACAGGACGAAGAAAATCCTAACAATTGACAGAAAAAGGAGTTATGGAATCAATATGGAATATCTGTGAACAGATAAACTAAACATCCCATTTAGGCACACACTGATGACACTATACGAACAGCTTAAGCATTAAATCTTTCATTTTTAAATGAAAGCAATTCATTTTTAAGATAATGCTAACAAATTGGAAAATAACTTACTTTTACATTTCAAATTGAATCTTAAAGTGCATGAACAAAGCAAGGGAATATTAGTATTGTGATTTGTGGTTTTGGGGTTTTACTTTTAAAACACTCTCTGATAAAAATTAAACTACTAACGTAGGGTCAATATGAAAAACAGTTCTCTACGCAGTACAAGAGCAGGACAAGTAGCAAGAACAGCTTGTTGGTTTTCATGTAAAACAAAAATCTTAAAAAAAAATGAATATCTTAAGTTCCTTTATTGCTGCTTTGCTGCTTATTGATTTCTCAGGCAGACTGAAATGGACAAATTAGAGACTGTAATTATCAAAATTAAAAATGTCCAAGGTTGCTATTTACAGACTTCTGCTGACTAAAGACAGCAGACACTCACTGCAGGATGACAGATGTGCTACAAGCACCCAAGCTGGCTGCCACTACTGCTTTAAAAAAAAAACCTTGTGCATAAATAAAGACGTAAAGGACTTTTTCACTTACAGAAATCAAAGTAATTTACAAAAATATAAAAGGAATATCCTGATTTTAACAGATGTATAACTCCTGGCAGAGATCATTCAGGCTGCCCAAGGTCATCAATGCCCAGAGCCCTATCTCAATCCCAGGTACTAATCAAGATGAGAATCCCACCACACTAGAGGAACTCTGATGGCCTTAGATACATATGGCTCAAAATACAGTATGTGAAACACATTTCAAACCTTCAGATTTTGAATTGAATGTTGTTAGTGAAGTTTCATCTTTAACAACTGCCCCATTTGTACTTGATGATTCAGTTTTAACAGCCTGCTGGGTTACCATAGTTTGTGTGCTGGAGACAGTACTGCATACAGAGGCATCAGGATTTACAGTTCGTTTGTCCAAGTCATGTAATTCACCTACATTTGCTGAAGTCTGAGGACCTTAAACAAAGAAAATATTAACCAGGAGTCAACACTGACAGTACTTAACACATCTCAACTTGATCTAACGACTTTAGTGTGACACAAAAGCTCAGTGTTTCCTCTGAGTTTAGCCCAGCTTTAGGCCAGTGCTGATTATTTTCACTCCTAAGACTTTCCTTGGCTATTTAGCTTAACAATACCACGTCTATATACTTAGAATAGCTGGACTCAACCCCACTGAATTTAAGGCATGTCAGAAAGATGCCTGAATCAGACCCCAGTCATCTTCTATTTCTTCCACAGTCAGAGAACATGTGGCTCTCTAAGTCACATCACATCTTAAATGAGCTAATAACTTTTTACTATTAACAGAGATAAGTACTGTCAAAGGGAGCCTGGGGTTGCCACAATCTTCATTTAAATGCCTCATCTGAATGAGATTAATCTGGTCCTGTCAATCTGGTCTTTGACATTAACAGGGCTACTTATGCTCAGGAATAGACATATTTGCCATCATACTAATAAATATACTGAGAATTTCATGTTCCTTGCAACATTTCAAACATCTTATCTCATGTTTCCTCACTTCATCAAAATTCTAAAGCGTAGGTACAGTAATAGGTAGCACAAGGGTTATTTTTAAAATAAAAGGCATGTAAAATAACTTTAAGTGGCAAAACAGATATAATCTAAGTTTATGAGATGATTTTTAACTCTCATTTCTTAATTAACTTTCATTCTAATAGATATCTTACTTGAAGTACAAACAGGCAAAAGAGAAGGGGCATTTGATTCTTTGAATCCTGTAGCATCTGCATGGCTTTTCATAGTCTCTTGGGTAATCTTGTTCTCAGGTGCTGCAACCTTTTCTTTTCCTTCTATTTTTAATAATGAGTTGGATGAAAGGGAAACTTGGACCTAACCAAAACAATACATTTGTTAATGTTTAACTGCGAAGTCTAGACATTTTAGTTGCAAACATGGCACAAAAATGCTTGCTTAAAAATGACAAACAAATCCTCCGAACATATCCCCTGGCATTTTAAATTAAAGCCAGCAATGAACCTTGTAATCCAGCTTATTTTGTTGGCTTGAAAGTGTCTCTGTCCCGTTCTAAATTGTATCTGAGATTGGGCTCCTATTTTTGAACTAGTGGATGAAATATTAACACACAAATTTAGATTGTTGAAGTGGACAGGATGGGAGCAGGGGGAAAAATAAATAAATAAAACAAAACACAAAACCCAGGGACTTCAATCACAGTGACAGAGGTTTTCAATTTTGGTTTTCCCAACGCAAACCAAAGATATTTCTACCACTAGTAAAATTCACAATGCAACTATGTGCACTTTCTACAAGTATATATTATCCAAGGTACTCAGTTAGGTACTAAGATCCAATACAGATCTGAGGCCTAACACAATTAAGTAAAAGTTAGAATTTCTTAAAATGTGATCCTTTACCTGCAGATTTAATCCTTTCCTTTTAAGCTGGCAAAGCAGCAGAACACCTACAACTGCACAACTAATGCATCTGCTAGGTTTATGCTGTAGAAAGAAAATAAGCTGTCAACACAACCCTAAGAAAGAAGGAACGTGACTTAGGTCTTTTACCTCCCACATTAATTTCACCAACACTTTGAAGATGAAAAGCATTTCTGCTGGTATCAGGTTCCCAGTTAGCATTCTGGAAACCAGTGCAGTGGCAGCTTCCTGTGTGTACTACCGTGAAGAGGTCTTCGAAAAAAGTGCAACTACCTCAACAGATTATTTTGTTTTTTTAAATGACTAAGAAGTATGCAGGGACTTTGGGCCCTGAACAAGTATTTTGGCAGTTTGCTTGTTTCCTGTACTATGCCAATTAGGCTTTATTTGAGTTTACACTTACGTTATTAGGAATGACATTATTTGTTTGGCTGGGATGATCCACCTTCATATCTGGATAAGGGATGCTAGTCAACAACTGTGGACTTTGATGAAGAGAAGAGGCACCTTTAAGGTAAACAAAAGCAAATTCCCATCAGTTGCATAAAGCCCAATATTAATGTTAGGTGGAATCTATTCTAGTAAGAAAGAGTGAGACTCAATGCTGTACAATAGATTCGGTGGTAAGACAGAGATGAAATTGTAAGGGCAAATAGTTAAAATCCTACTCTCATGGTCTCCTTTCTCAAATCACACCCAGCATTATACAAATTCTCCATAATTACGGGAGTTTTTATGCACAATCTACATTGATATAGACATTTTGTAAATAAGCAAAGTTTCAGAGTCTCTCTTTAAATATTTAGGATTTTTTTTTTAAATAAACTCGTGGTAAGTACTTACACAAAGCCCTATTCCACCTTTGGACAAACACAAGCACAGAGATCTGGCAAGTACCTTGTGAAGTGAGCAGCGATGCCTCAGGAACCCCAGCACCAGGTGTTCCAGACGCTGGTGGCACCGGCGAGTCAGAATGTAGCTGGAGTAGATACCCTTCGACTGTAGGTACTTCATCCCATTTCACTTGAAAAGAGTTAGTTGTAGCTCTAATCAGCTGTACCTGGGAAGGGGCTGGAGGTTTCTCTACAAGGAAGCAATAAGACAGTATGTTTGAAATTGCCTTCCTTTATCCCTTTCAGAAATGACTGTATAATGCATAGCCCACCCCAGCTACTCTCTCTCTTCTGAGAAATCTTTTTGATTACTCTAATGTTCTCATCTTTCTGCTAGAGCACGCAATAACCCTTGCTCAGCAGCACTATTCCCATTTTCTCCCCCCTTATACCATGTCAAGGCCCTGCCAAAAAATAAGCAACCATCATGCCAGCTATTAATGACTAACTAGTGCTTCAGAATTCCCTTCTGAAGGAACAATTTTGTCCCTTCTCATATTAAACAGTATCTTCTTGCAGTCCAGGAGATGAGGAAGCAGCAGCAGCAATGATCCCAAGAGAAGGAGAGGTTTGGTAAGAAAGGGTAAGTAGGAACAGCCAGAAAGAAGCCAGGAACCCTGAGTTTAGCAACCCCCTTTTTAGTACAGCCTGAATCTATCAACTGTAACACATGATAGAGAATTTAGCCAAAGTTCTCTTTCAGAGGTTTTAAATAAGCCTCCCTGTATTTTATAATTTATAGTTGTATTTTCCAATCAACCACCAAAAGAAGGCTGCTTTAACAGAATGAGCTTTAGAGTTTAAAGCATCTTTTAAGCTTGCTACAGCTTTCGAGCTTCTGAACACTGATAATGCCAGTTTTCCATATGCAAATAATGTATGGAACATAGTACAGGCCTCTATTTATTTATTTATGACTCACCAGTATCAAGGTACCAAAGATCTTTGCAGCAAACTTGATTGTTCCAAGCTTTTCTGTAACCATCTCTACCACTCCAGATATACAGACGAGTGCCCACAGCTACAGCACAGTGTCCTGCTCTTGGCCCTGGTAACAAGTTACTTTTGTCCTCCTGGCAATCTGAGATCAGACCTATCCATTCTGTGGTATCTAGTAAATGAAACTTGAAAAAATCAGTTTCTAGATCATTACCAAAACAAGAAATACATATGTTAGTACACTTAAGAACTCAGAGAAAATGAAAATAAATCACCTCTGTTTTATAGATGATTGCAATTAAATTTTCAGCATCTGCTGGCTTTTAAAATTACACCAAGGAGAAGGTCACCTGAACCAATATTCCAAACAATTTGCAATACATGAACAATTAAAACAGGACCAATTTTCTGACATCTGGTTGTCTCTATCAGACAAACACAAAATGAGAATTTGAAAATTCAAGGACAATTCTATCACAGTTTAGTAACAAACTAATTTCAGATGCAGCTATATTCTACATGAAGCAGGTGTATTCATACCACCTAATATTGAAGCTCCACGAATAAAAATGTGCATTGACAAACCAGCTGAGTATTCCCGAAAGGCTATCCCAAAGACTATTCAAAGCAAACAGGTAAATTGACAGTAAAAATCACATTCAAAGAATGATGTTAAAACTGAGGCCAACTAGTTTTTACAACCCTGTACTCAGGGTCTTAGGGTTTTCAAAATATTAATTTCACTCTGTTAGGAAAGTATTAAAAATACCCACTCCCAGAAGGGCAGAAGGACTAACCCAAATTTAGGTAAGAAAATGAACCGGTACATTTCCATTCACCATCATGAGAAGAAATTTCACCTCCTGCTGACTGGGGAACCCATCCACCAAACACATACATTCTGAAATATAGGAAAAAAGAGAAGAGGGGAAAAAAAAAAAAAAAAGCTAATTAGCATTTCCAGGCCTGCTGCATGTGCTCTCTCAAACCAGGACAAAACAGAAAATTTCCAGAGCTTTGCAGTTCTGGTTTACAGCAGATTTTGTTGATGTCTACACTCTTTAGAAAGTCTTGTTGCATACAGTCAGCATTTGAAGTTATCTGTAGGTTTTCTAATTATTTTCTGAACTTAACTCCTGGAAGAAGAGTTTAATACTGTATTTTGATTATAAATTACCAAACTGTTAATACTGTCTAAAAATCACACATTTACATGAGTTTTATACAACAGTTTACTGCAGACCTCTCAGTAAACCATTCTAAAATCAGAAGACAGATATCGAAGTCAGGTACCAAAATGTAGTGTCATGGTGCAGACTGCAATAATATTTTATATAAATAATAAAGGTAAGTTCTTGTGTCACTTCTTCCCCTCCTTGATTCTTTCTCCTCACCCCAACTTGTAAACCGATAATAAAAGGGTCTGAAATCTTCATCTAAGGACTGGATCAAAAGTTCACTTTGTCAAAACTCTTTCTCAAAATAAGCCACACCAGCAAGAAACAACATAACAAGGAACAGATTACAGGGCAAAACTGGCCCACAGAAGCATGGAATGGTTGTGCCCAGAACTAGTTCTCATCGTTGGGCAGTTTCTTTGTAGAGCTAGTTCACTGTGTCACTCAAGTCGGCTTCTGACGGAGCAGCTTAGAGCAGGTTGTGACCAACTCCAAAACTCAGAGATACATTAAGAAATGGAAACTTAGATGCTGGGCAGATCCTGCTGGCTGGAAACACTGACAGTTACATAACTGTGGCACTGCATAATTTCCACTGAGGGAGGACAACAGAGGTAGAAGGGCACTCTACAGGGCCAACGGTTCATACTGAGCAGTACTGGGAAAGCATCATCATTCTCCTACTAGGTGTACCTTTCTATAGTTGAGCTTTTAACAACAGACATACTTGTTTCCTATTACATTGGCCGTATGGAGACTGCGAGGAAGTGGGACTGTCCCCTTAGTTTCTGGTCTTGACCAGGTCATGGTTTCTAAAAGAAAAAGAATAAAAATAAATAAATAAAGTTGCTACAGCGCTACAGTATATTTCAGTTTATGAATTTTAGGAGGGAGCACACCTCTAACTCATGCTCAACAAAATAAAATTTCATCTTTTCATCTTTTTTACATTACCTGACTTTCATTAGTTATTAAACTGAGTTATTATAGTGACCCTTTTGAAAGCACTCTAAAGAAACAGATCATCTCACACCATAACCAACAGCAGCGAGAATTATTTATACAAGCAACACAGCATCTACCTCACTCCAAGAATTTCAGAAGGCTTAACACGTAGGTCCCAACAAAACCCATGGAACACCACATCATTAATTTTCATACACTTGAGTTTTCCTTCATGCCTAGTTAGGCCCCTGCACTGACTTACAATAGCAAATGAACTCACCTATGTCAAGCTCCCAAAGATCATTAAGCCTACAGCCACACATCCCTCCAAAAATATACATCTTGGGACTTCCCACGTCCTTCCTGCAGTATACAATGGCTGTGTGAGATTCCCGGGGAGATGGCAAGATCCCTTTTGTCACTGGAATGCTCCAGCCCACAACTCCAGAACCATGTTGCAGCTCCAGTTCATAGAAATCATTTAAGTATCTAGGGTATTGTTGGGAGAAGGGAGGAAAAAATAAAAAATAAAAAAAAAACCAAAGTTACAAATGAGCCTGGGACCCCCAACTCTTCCAAATATTACAGAATTCTCTGTCATAGAAGTGCTGTATTTTATCCAAATAATACCACCAACTCCAAAATTTAAGAAGTCCAACTTTTTCTTCTAAAAAAATAAGGAAAGTAAATAGAGACCATTACTCAATCTAGCATATTGAAGAGAGCACCAAACTAAGGAGGAATTGAAACAAAAATGATTTTGTATGTGTAATGATTATAACTTGTTACCTCTAAGAAAGTATGCTTTCATATGATATTAGGTAACTGTAGTCCATGAAAGAAACATTCAATATTAGTAACAAGATTCTTAGCAAAATTTGCTACATATAGATAAACTTGAAAAAAAAGATAAAAAGTTCCGAGAAATGTGCTATCATGTGGGCATTAAAGATACAAACTTCTGCAACTATAAGGCAACAAAACTGGGGGGGCCGGGGGGAAAGGTTTTCTGAAGCGTTCAGGTTGGCCAACAGACAATTAGCCATTTCTGGCTGAACTTCTTGGCAAGATATTTTTAGATAATTATCTTTGAATCCTGGCATTCACACCAGATAACTTCTGTTTAAATGAGTTTCAAATTGCCAGCTGGTAGCTCCCTTGGTGCCCTCAACTGCAGGTGAATGCAGAAATAAAAGCTTCAGCTTTAGCATGGTTTTATTCACCAATAAGAAAAGCTGACTTCAACTGTTACTTTAAAGAGTTCCCAGGTGCATTTGTAACTGCTTTCCACAGCATTGTAGAGGAAACCAAACTCCCACTGTAAAGCCATTAATGACTGACAAGACATTGATTATTTAAGTAATTCTAATAAAATTCTAATAAAATAAAAGAGCAAAAAATATTAGGGAAATACATCAAGTCTATTCAGGTTTCCCTGGAAGAGTGTCAAAGCCCTCAGACAGGAGATTAGCAGAAGGAAAGTTAAAGCTTCTTAGCATGCAATGTCCCCAAAGCCCCACATAATTAAAACATCAGTACTGACTACAGAGGACAGCCCTCCCCAAATGTTCCTTTTCATTTTGTAGAAGCTGCTTTATCTAGTCATTTATTTTAAACATATTCAGTTCAGGCCAGATAAGCATACCTGGGAACATTATTATTTGAATCCTCACTTTCATTTGCCAGGCCACCAAATAAGTAGCACTTGTTACCATACAAAGAAAAGCTGTGGCCAAGTCGAGGACAAGGTGGTGAACCGGTCGAAGGAGCTTGAGGTTTTACTTTTTTCCAGAGCCATCGACTTGCCTTAAAGACAAAAAACCACAACATACTCAGATATATCTTCGATTTCAGTCAAACTAATGTTAACTGAGCTCCCAGGTTACATCAAGACTTTTACTTTGGATTTTTTCTTTAAGGAAATTACATCCTTTTCTTAAGGCATATGTTAACAGTAATATGCAAGTGCTAAGTTTCATGAAAATACCTTAAATACTTTATATTGCACTTGGACTCTTCTTTGCAGCTATTGATGAAAGTTTCTCTTTTTAAAATTATTTAACTTTTCTCCGCTTTCAAAATCTATATGCAGAGTTGACTTTCCCTTAAGCAGTGCAAATCTCATCTAACTTTCTACTGCAGCTCACAAGATAAAAACCTTGGTTCAAAAATACATAAAACAGTCCTTGAAACAGAAATACATTTATACATTTCCTACCTGCAATTCATATAAGTCATTACTGTATCTTCCATATTCAACCATTCCTCCAAAAACTAGTATTCTGGTACCATCACAAACAAATCCATGGGCTGCACAGCCTGGAGGAATATCTCCCCTTACAGCAGGGAGGAACCACTGATTTGTAGCTAAAAAGGAAAGGAGAAAAAAAGAATCAAACACAGATAAAGAACTGTGCATTTTTAAAATTCTCTGCTTTCTAAAAAATTACCTTTTACTTGTGTATGACTGCAAATGGGCTATTTAACTCTAATGAGTTTTTAAAGTAGTCAACTGAAAATCATATTTTTAAACATCTCTATCAAGCCAGTGTATGAAATGACCACATGGGGTTACTGTAACTCAGTCAGTTACAAAGGGTCACACAGCAATTTAATAAAATTGCCCAAAAATCAGTTAATGAGGAGCCTAAGTGCAGTTCTGCATAAAAGACACAGGCAAGCTAACTTAGAAAGAGCCAGCTCTAGAAAAAGACTTATTACAGCTTCAGCAGCATGGCAGTGTGCCTGGACTTAATAGCCCTGTTGAAAAACTAATTACACTATTCTGGGACCAACACTAACATCTACAGTGCTCTGTGCTGGCACATGGAGAGAAGAGGCATAGTGACAGGAGAGAGCAACAGAGATGGCCTCACTTGGCACCACCACATTCTGATGCAGACTGTCCTGGAACTAAAGAGTTAAAGTAGATATTTTCACCTTTTCCCTAAGCTATTACCTTTAGTCCCTGACTAAAAGGAAGGAAAGTATGAAATCAGATGCATGCCACAAACTTTGCTGTAGGGGCTCTTACCCTGAAAACCACCACACTCATCACTGTAGCAAGAGATGCCCAAATGTGGGCACCCCAGGCAACAACCCTGCAGCTCAGCCTGAAGAAACAATAGTACCCGGAGCCAAAACACCAGGCTGAACTGCAGCAACTGAGACATGCTCATTTCTGCTACTGTTGCAAAGGGGCAAACACTTTCAGTGGAAACCCCATGCAGATAAATCAAAGGCTGGCAGTGTGCAAGTCTTATCCAGAAGGCAGCTGTCAGACGCTCTGTTCTAACAGACAGCACATGTACTAACCAACAGCACCCTACAGATTACTTTTCCCAGCAGTGAAGAGATTATTTTTTTTCAAACAGAATCAAGTATAACTTTAAGCAACCGCTGAAAACTCTGCTCTGAAGAGCTCTCAGAAAAGGGTATTTTCCTTTTTCTCAGAAAAAGGTATTTTCATTTTTTGAATGAACTACCTCCAAAACATTTTCCTACTCCCAAATTTTGTCTCAGAAATCCACAGCAAGTACTTCACCGCCTTTATTCCTGCAGTGGCTTTGAATACACAACAATATTGACAATTTTTACAAAGTTGATAAAGTAAAAGGGTAGTCAGAATGCTCTAGCATCACTTTTTTTAAAAGAAAAAAGCTATATTCTGTATTCTATTCTATACTCTATTTTAATCTATATTCTCCAAGCCAGCACTGAAAAGCAGAGAAGCGCCCAATGCGCCCATCTAAAGCCACGCACTGAAGTTACACAAGAGCTCCCGGCCCTGCAAGGCATCATCCCGGAGCAGCAACTATGTAGGCATCTAATCCTCCCGAATACAGCCGGCCTCCGGCAGCTTCCTGTCTGGAAAAGCTCCCAGTGCCAACATACTTCTCCAACCAAGATCTGTTTTGCAGCACGCACAACATCGCGAGCTGTCACCAGAGCAGGGGGCTGGATTCAGCACTCGAGGAAAGAGGGT